CTCGCCGCCGCTGCCTCGGGGAGATCGAGCGGGGGGGGATGGAGGAGACGGAGCTCTTCTCCCCCCCCGCGAGTATCGCGGGTCCCCGTCTTGTGTGTGTGTGTGTGTGTGTGTGTGTGTGTGTGTGTGTGTATATATATATAAGATGCTGAGTTGCAGACCAGAAGGTCGGTAGCTCGGCAGTTCGAGACCCGAGTGTGCCGCATGATGGAGTGAGCTCCCGTCTCTGGCCCCAGCTCCTGCCAAGCTAGCAGTTTGAAAGCAAGAAATTGCAAGTAGATAAATAGGTACCGCTTCGGTGGGAAGGTAACAGTGTTCCGTGCACCTTGGTGTTTAGTCATGCCGGCCACATGACCACGGAAATGTCTTCGGACAGCGCTGGTTCTTCGACTTGGAAACGGAGATGAGCACCGCAACCCTAGAGTCGGATTCGACTGGCTTTCTCCCAATTGCTATCAGTGCAGCTTTACTTTCTAAAACTTCCTTCTCCTTCAAAAGATTCTTCTTCAAAGGAATCTGCCCTCCTTTCGTCCCTTTTTAAAAATAATTCTTCAGTGTCTCGTTCTCATCTTTTTTGAGATATTTCTCTCTCTAGTTAATTCGCTAGGCTAGGAAGAGAAGCCAACTGTGATTCTTGCCCCTGTGGTTGAAGCATCTCTGATGGGTGGGTGCGGGGGTGAGGAGTCTGGGAGTGGGGCAGGACCCATCTCCTCAGCCTATTCCATTCCTTCTCTTACCCGTGTCTTTTGCTGTTGTTTCAGATGTGGGGAGGATCCGTGAAGATGGAAGCGAAGCTCTCCGAGGCAGAAGGAGCTCCGTCAGAGGAAGGTCAGAGGGCGCAGGCCCAGGAGGATGCCCGGGATGCCCTGCCAAGTGGTAAGGGTGCCTCCGGCCTCGATGGGATCGGGGGACCTATTATCTGTCTGTCTGTCTGTCTACCTATCTATCTTGTATCCCCCCCCCCTTCTGGCACGCGGGCTCAGGGCGGGCAACATCAAAATTTCTTGTACAATATAATCAATTGTCAGATTAAAATTTAACTAAAAACTGGCAATTATACTAGCTCCAACAGCTGGGTAAGTGGTAATCATAGGCAATTTCAGTAGGACCGCTTTGCCGGGAAGGCCATGTGATTGAACATCTATCGCCTCAACCTGTCAAACTTGGACCCTCGTTTTCCATGACTTTTGTGTATTCTGTTTCCACTGCCTGTAATCATTCTGTTTGCTTTTCTTGTGGGGAACAATGGGCTGGAGAGAGAGAGAGAGAGAGAGAGAGAGAGAGAGAGAGAGAGAGAGAGAGCACGCTTAGCCACTTCGCAACTGTTTTCTTAAGAAGCCTCCCGACTTGGGAAGTATGTGCAACGGCCTTCAGTGCTTGTCTCTGCTAGACGGCTTGTCATAGATAAACTATTATGGGGTGCAGGTGGGGAAAGGGGGGCTAATGGTGCACGCTAGATTTAGGCGGGTTGAGTGAAAGGAATGATTGGATGGGTGACGGGTCACTGGGTGGGGCTGTTTGAACCATGTATAATTTCGGAACTGGCACCAACCGGGTCAGTTCTGACACAAGATGGTCTTAGCTTGAGACATGCTGATCTCTCAATAAACAAATGACTGCCGAGAGAGTGTTGTTGAGAGTACGTTTGTTCAAGAGTCTGACACAACTGAAAGCTTGACCTAGTCAAGTTGTTGACCTAGTCAAGCTGTTGACCTAGTCAAGTTGTTAGGCAGAAGGTTCAGGACAGGAGAAAAGGGGAATACTTTTGCAGAACACATAGAATGGAGTTCTGGGACACAGAGTGCCATAGGATGTTGTGACGGCCACTCCACTTTAAGGGGGAATAGAGAGATCCATGGAAGGCAATTCCATCCTTATTTACATTAATTAAGATATGAATCTCTCCCCTTCCTTCCATTAGAGGGTCTCAAGGTGACGCAAAAAAGGAAAGGAAGGCAAATCGTGGTGCAGCTATTAGCCATGGTGAATCAATGGACAGTCTGCGTTCCCCTTACCTGAATGGCCGAGCCTAGCCCAATCTCCTCAGATCTCAGAAGCTGAGCAGGGTCAGCCCAAGTTCGTTCTTGCATGGGAGACCACCAAAGGATTCCAGGGTTGCTATGCAGAGGCAGGCAAAGGCAGACCCACCTCTGAAGGTCCCTTGCCTTGAAGAACGGTGGGTTCACCATAAGTCGGCTGTGACTTGGCAGCACTTTACAAACACCGCCCCCCCCCCCAAATGCTCTGGGGCAGCATGCCTCTGAAACCTCATTGATAGTGGCAATGATTTGGTCCTGCTTAAAGGCTTTCCAGGGGTATCTGGCAAACCACGGTCAGAAAGAGGATACTAGAGCCAGTTTGGTGTAGTGGTGGAGTGTGTGGACTCTAATCTGGGAGAACCGGGTTTGATTCCCGCACTTTTCCACTTGCAGCTGCTGGATGACCTTGGGCAAGCCATAGTTCTGTCAGAGCTGTTCTCCCAAGGACAGTTCTGGAAAGAGCTCTCTCAGGCCCACCGACCTCACAGGGTGTCTGTTGTGGGGAGGGGAAGGGGAAGGAGTTTGTAAGCTGCTCTGAGACTCTGAGTGAAGGGCAGGGTATGAATCTAATCTCTCCTCCTCCTCCTCCTCCTTCTTCCTCTTGACCAGGGATGACAGGCCGTGGCCAGGTACCCCCATCAGGTGTGAGAGTGAAGCAGGGGGTGGATGTGAAGTCCTGTCAGTGTCTTGTCTTGCCTAATACCTGGATGTGAAGTCAGAGCATCAGCAGATGCCCTGGAAGCCCACGCAGTATTACCCTAAAGTTTCCAGAACATTGGCCCAGCAGGCGGGAGAATGGCGTGCCTGGACTTTTGGTCTCATCCAGCAGGGCTGCTGCAGCCTTTGGAGTTCCAGGGTCCACAGAGATCATTTCAAGTCTCACAGAAGGGTTGGCAGCATTTACAACACCCCAAGGCTCATGGGTATTTGCGGTGCTTCTCTTCCACCTCTCCCACGCCTGACTAAAAATCAGTACGGGGTTTCTGGAGCGTAAAGAAGACACGGTGTCAGAACCCTGGAAACAGGGATGTGTGAAGAGGAATTCAAAGAAGCAAAGAAAACAGGAACTTGAGGGTAACGTTCAGCCTTCCAATTTTGTCTCCCTTGCAGGCAGTGAAGAGATGTTGTCAAGCTGTCGTCTTTTCAGAGGAGTGGAAACGGCTGCTCCACCTCTGGCCCAGGTAGGGGAGGAAGATTGGGGGATAGTCAGGTCCCCCCTCCTTTCTCTGGGAGGCTTTTGGTCCTGCTGACTGAGGGGAGAGAGGCCCTGAACCCCACTCTCATGACAAATACCAAGCTCTACATCCTCCACCCTCCCAGAATGCCCCTGTGGAGAGTGCAGCCTCTGCTGGGACTGAACTCTGACGAGGGAATCTGCTTCTCCTTTCAGTCTCCCTTTTCCTTTGAGGAGGTGGCCGTGCATTTCACCGTGGCCGAGTGGGCCTTGCTGGATCCGGGCCAAAGAGCTCTCTACAGGGACGTCATGCGGGAGAACTACGGGAGCGTGGCTTCTCTGGGTAAGGACCTTTCATAGGTGCCAGAGGTGCAAATGGCTGCCAATGGGACGGTGCATGAATCAAAATATTGAAAAGCGACATGTGGTTGTGAGGACTGCCCAGCTACCCTCCCCACTCCTTGCTGGGGACCTCAGGGAGGTGGGGCTGGCAGAGGAAACGATGGCTCAGCGTGGCCAGTGTGGTGGCCCTCTCCCAAGCCAGAGAAGGTGTCCTGGCCTGTGGCCGAGGCGGGGCTGAGAGGCCCTCAGAAAAGACTCTGGAAGGGTCCGGATCCCGATTTCTCAGTTGCCAGCCTTGAGAACACGCCCTTCCACGAGATGGGATTCCGGCCATCCACTCTGGCGGAATGAGCTCCCAGCAGAAATCGGGGCCCTGCGGGACCTTCTGCAGTTCCGCAGGGCCTGTAAAACGGAGCTCTTCCGCCAGGCTTTTGGAGCCGCCGTCACCAGTAACAGCTGACAGCTTGAGACGGGAGAGCTGTGTCGTCATCCTTCCCCCCCCCTCCCCCGGATTTCTAACTGCAGCCTGAGCCAGCTGCCTAAGACGACCTAAGGAGACGAAAGAGCTGACTGCGAAGAGAGAGAACTGCGCAACGACTACCGCTGTGAAATTACTGAACTTATTGATAAAGGTAAAGGTTTCCCTTGCTCGAAAGCCAGTCGAATCCGACTCTAGGGTTGCGGTGCTCATCTCCGTTTCCAAGCCAAAGAGCCAGCGCTGTCCGATGATGTTTCCGTGGTCATGTGGCCGGCATGACTAAACACCAAGGCGCACGGAACGCTGTTACCTTCCCACCGAAGCGGTACCTATTTATCTACTTGCAATTTCTTGCTTTCGAACGGCTAGGTTGGCAGGAGCTGGAACTAGAGACGGGAGCTCACTCCATCATGCGGCACCCGGGTCTGGAACTGCTGAACTACTGACCTCCCACAGCCTGCAGTTCAGCGTCTTAACCACTTGAGCCACTGCAGCTCCTTTATTTATTATATTTATTATAGTCTTGGTTTTGAACTTGCTTCATTGCTAATTGTTGCTGTTAACCTATTTTACGTGTATTGTTAAAATTGTCGATGTTCTGTGTAAGCTGCCCTGAGCCGGCCTCAGCCGGGAGGGCGGAGTAGACATTTAATCAATCTGTCAATCAATAACAGGTTAATGAGGCCCGATAATAACCAGTCTCCTGGCTGCTATCTCTTGCTGGCAATAAGACACGCTTCTTTCCGGATCTCTCCGGCTGACTCGATGCTTCTAGGAAAGGCAGAAAGGCCTGCATGATTCGGACGTGGCTGCGCATCAGGCAACAGACAGGTGCAGGGAACGGCTCAGAAATAGCAAGAGAAGGGCTCTGACCTTGAGAAAGGTGGCCTTACGTCCCCCCACTAAGAACGGGCACCTTTCCCTAAAAGCTATGGGGGGGGGTCTATGTTCCCTCTAACTGTGGAGTCTTGTGAGCAAAAATTCTACTTGGTGAGCGACTGGCCTTAAAGTGGTGAGCGAGCGATTTGGCTGTGGCATCAATTCGTTTGCTCTGGAGCCAGCCCTTCCTGAGCTGAGACGAAAATGGGTGAGCTGGAGGCTAAAAAAACTGTGAGCTGGCTCACACTAGCTCAGCTTAGAGGGAACACTGATGGGGGTCCCCTTTGAACTCTGCAGTTCACTTGGTGAGCTCCTGGCTTCCCCCCCCCCACACACACACACCAAGAAAACAAGCATTTTTGGGAGGCTGAACACCACCCCCTCCTGGCTTTGTTCACTATTGGAAGTGCAGTTGCAGGCCTGGATATCTTGATAACCTCTTACAGGGCTATTTTTGGGCAGGAACGCACAGGAACGGAGTTCCGGCTGGCTCCCGAGTTGGCCATGCCCAGCAGGAACCTCATTAGCATAATAGGCCACACCCAACAGCAGGAACTCATTAGGATTGGCTACATTAGGGGTGTGTGGCCTAACATGCAAAGGAGACCCTGCTACAAAAAAGGCCCTGGGTTTTGACCACAAACAAGGTAAACAGAATAAGAAGCAAAAGGTGGGTGTGGCTGGATGACCACACCTCTGGCAACATGGGGGTGCTGCCTAGTATGCTAATGAGTTTCTGCTGCTGGGTGTGGCCTATTATGCTAATGAGTTCCTGCTGGGCTTTTTCTACAAAAAGAGCCCTGAGATTCCTCTTCTACTTAATCGTCAAGTGCAGAGGATCAAAAGAGCTGCACGGCAAGTCATACTGGGAGCCTGGGGAGAGGAGGAATAGGCAGAATATAAAAACAGCTCTTGGGGGAGGGCCCGGCAGGGATAAGCAGCTCAGTTTGCACACCCATTCATGAGCAGAGCCCGTCTGGTGCCTTGGCTTCTTGCAAGGGTGCTGATTGATGCTCTTTCTTTATTCCAGCAGCAGACGTACAGGAGGCAGCTGGGGGATTCCAGGGGTTCCCTTTGGAAAAAGCCAAGAGTGAAGAGGTCGAAGGAAACTTCGGAGGTGGGCCACAGAGGCAGGAGGAGAGCCACACAGGTAAGAGGAGGCAGAAGCCCATTCCTTGCCAAGGAGGTTTTTTTTTGTGAAATCCCAGTCCAAGAAGAAAGGTCAATCAAAAAACAAAGGAACAGAGGCTATTTTGCAGACCCAAATTCCCTTTGGAGAGAAACCGCACAATTGCTTGCAGTGTGAGAAGAGTTTCAGTCGGAAAAGGCCCTTGCTTCACATTAAAGAAGAAGAAGAGATTGGATTTATACCCCGCCCTTCACTTGGAGTCTCAGAGCGGTTTACAAACTCCTTCCCCTTCCCCTCCCCACAACTGACACCCTGTGAGGTAGGTGGGGCTGGGAGAGCTCTTGACAGAAACTGCTCTTTTTCAAGGACAGCTGTGCCAGAGCTTGAGACTGACCCAAGGTCACATCAGCAGGTGCAAGTGGAGGAGTGGGGACTCAAGCCCGGTTCTCCCAGATTAGAGTCCGCACACTTAACCACTACACCAAACTGGCTCTCCAAAAAGAAAATCACACAGGTGGGGAGCCTTGGAATTGGTCAGAGTCCAAACCAAGCGTCTCTCATGCAGGAGGCTCAATGTACTCTTATAGGGTGTATTATTGTATGCTTCAGTGTACAGCAGGAAGAGACCTCTGGGATGTTTGGATTCTGGATGGAAATTCAGGTGCGGATCAGACCTTGCGTGGACAGCTTCAAGAGGGAACTGGATAAACATATGGAGCAGAGGTCCATCAGTGGCTATTAGCCACAAGGTATAGATAGGGACTCACAGGCTGGGGCAAGTGATGCACTGTATTCTTGGTGCTTGGGGGCGGGGGAAACAGTGGGAGGGCTTCTAGCGTCCTAGCCCCACTGGTGGACCTCCTGATGGCACCTGATATTTCTGGTCCCTGTGTGACAGAGTGTTGGACTGGATGGGCTGTTGGCCTGATCCAACATTGGCTTCTCTTGTGTTCTTAAGGTATAGATAGGAACTCTTGGTCTGGGGCAAGGGATGCTCTGTATTCTTGGTGCTTGGGGTGGGGGGGAAGAGTGGGAGGGCTTCTGGAGTCCTGGCCCCCCTGATGGACCTCCCGATGGCACTTGGTGTTTTTGGCTATTGTGTGACAGAGTGTTGGACTGGATGGGCCATTGGCCTGATCCAACTTTGGCTTCTCTTAAAAAAAAATAAAGGATCTCTTTCTTTATTCCAGCAGGGGATGATCAGAGGAATGAGGAGGATGAGGAAGTGGATCATCTATCACCAGCTGAAGTAAAGAATGAAGACTTGAGAGGAAACTTCAGAGACCAAGGCAAATCTAAGAGGCAGAGAAGAAGCCACATGGTCAAGAAGAGGGGTAAACCCATTCCTTGCCAAGCGGGGGATTTCCAAGAAGTAATTCACATGGTGAAGGAAACGTACAAGTGCTTGGCGTGTGGAATGAACTTCTCAGATCAATCCCAATATAATATCCATTTACGAATGCAGAATGGAAAGAAGACCTATCAACAGTTGGAGGGTGGAAAGACCACGATTCACAGAGCAGAGCTCCTCAGACACCAAAGAACACGTACAGGAAAGAAACCTTATAGCTCATCAGACTACAGCAAGAGGCTCTCAGAGAAATCAGACCTTGCTGGACACAAAAAGATTCGCTCAGAAGAGAAGCTATTTATTTGCTCAAAGACTGGAATGGCGATCTCTGAGGGAGGAAAAGGTAATATACATTTTCCAAAGCACAGTCTAAAGAATGCATGTAAATGCTTTTGGTGCAGAAAATACTTCAGATGCAGATCACAGCTCCTTGTGCACCAAAGAATCCACACAGGGGAGAAACCTTTGGAATGCTCGGAGTGTGGGAAGAAATTCAGTCAGAGTGGCAATCTTCGACTGCACCTAAGAACTCACACAGGGGAGAAACCTTTTGAATGCTCAGAGTGTGGGAAGAGATTCAGTCATAGTGGCCATCTTCAGATTCATCTAAGAACCCACACAGGGGAGAAGCCATTTGAATGCTCAGTGTGTGGGAAGGGATTCAGACAGAGTTCTCACCTTCAAATTCATCTAAGAACCCGCAAAACGGAGAAGCCTTATGAATGTTCAGGGTGTGGGAAGAGATTCAGTGGCAGAAGCACTCTTCAAAATCATCTAAGAACCCACACAGGGGAGAAGCCTTTTGGTTGTTCAGTGTGTGGAAAGAAATTCCGTCAGAACTTCCATCTTCAAATTCATATAAGAACCCATACAGGGGAGAAGCCTTTTGAATGCTCAATGTGTGGGAAGAGATTCAATGCTAGTGGCAGTCTTCAACTGCATCAAAGAACTCACACAGGGGAGAAACCTTTTGAATGCTCAGAGTGTGGGAAGAAATTTAATAGGAGTGACCATCTTCAACTGCACCGAAGGACCCACACAGGGGAGAAACCTTTTGAATGCTCAGAGTGTGGAAAGAAATTCCGTCAGAGTGGCACTCTTCAACTGCATCTAAGAACCCATACAGGGGAGAAACCTTTTGAATGCTCAGAGTGTGGAATGAAATTTAGTAGGAGTGGCCATCTTCAACTGCATCAAAGAACCCACACAGGGGAGAAACCTTTTGAATGCTCAGAGTGTGGAAAGAAATTCAGTACAAGTGGTAATCTTCGACTGCATCAAAGAATCCATACAGGGGAGAAACCGTTTGAATGCTCAGAGTGTGGACAGAAATTCCGTCGGAGTGGCCATCTTGAACTTCACCGAAGAACCCACACAGGGGAGAAACCTTTTGAATGCTCAGAGTGTGGAAAGAAATTCAGTACAAGCGGTGGTCTTCAAATGCATCAAATAACCCATACAGGGGAGAAGCCTTTTCAGTGCTCAGACTGTGGGAAGAGATTCAGTCGGAGTGGCCATCTTCAACTGCACCAAAGAACCCACACAGGGGAGAAACCTTTTGAATGCTATGAGTGTGGAAAGAAATTCAGGTTGAGTGGCCATCTTCAAAATCATCTAAGAACCCACACACACAGAAACCATGTAACTACTTAGCCCAGATGTGTCAAACTAATTTCTTACGAGGGCCGGATCTGACATAAATGTCACTTTGTTGGGCCAGGCCATGTATGCCATAAAATGTAATGCCTGGTACCAGAGATACACATTTCAGAAAGGACACTGACTGACTAGGTGTCCATGGGGATTCTGAAAATATCACGGGCAGCTAAGACAAGGAGGGCTCCCTGTTAATAAGGTTAGCCGGCCACAGATTCTTTTCCTCCTATTCCTATTATCAATTTGAAACTGGCAATATTTGCAATATTTTCGATCTCCGAAACTGCAATTGTAATTAGAGATTGGCAGACTAGTGTTTGAAGTCAGCATTCAAAAACAGCAGTAAGAATATTTTGGATAATTGGTTGCAAATATGGAAAACAAATGTTAAAATAACAAAATCGGTTTCTTTTAAAGAGAATTTATATAAAATGTTCTATGGGTGGCATATAACGCCAGAGAAATTAGCCAGAATGTACCCTGGAATGTCTGACAAATGCTGGAAATATAAGATACGGGTGGAAAGCTTTTTTCATGTTTGGTGGAAGTGTAAAGAGGTGATGTTATATTGGAGAAGGGTTCATGAAATGTTACAAAAAATATGTTTGATATCGTTACCATCAATGTTTCCTCTAAGCTGTGGAGTCTTGTGAGCAAAAATTCTACTCTGCGAGCTACTAGCACTAAAGTTGTGAGCGAGTGATTTGGCTACTGCATAAATTAGTTTGCTCTGGAGCCATCCTTCCTGAGCTAAGACATAAATGTGTAAGCTGGAGTCTAAAAAACTGTGAGGTAGCTCACACTAACTCAGCTTAGAGGGAACACTGGTTACCATTTAAACCTGAAATGTTTTTGCTTAATATTATGCCTGATGTAAAAGATAAGAAAGGCACTTAATTATACGTATAGTTTTGGCAGCAAGAATTCTTTATGCTAAGAATTGGAGGAAATCAGAGATACCAAATGAAAATGAACTTTTGACAAAAAAATATGAAGTTTTGAAATGGATATATTGTTGGACTTGTTAAAAGACCGAAGCAAACAAAATGTGAGAGACAACTGGATACCATTCTTTGACTGGGTGGAAAGCAACTTTAAAGTCCGGGGGTAATGGATACAACTATTATAGACTTGGAGAAATTTTGGACTTTTTTCGGGAATCACAATAGAAGGTTTTAGCGATTTCATTAAGTGTTACTAGTTTTAGTAATTATATAAACGAAAGGGATCTGGAAACAAAGAACTAAGATGGAAAATATGTAACAGCTTTTATATAAACGTGATGGAATTTCCCATGATGTCTTATCCTATCCCCTTATCCCATCCCTTGGACCCTTTCTGTCCTATAAAGTATTAAAACCAAATAAAAATTTAAAAAAAGAAATAGACGCAGGGCCTCACTTGCCTGTCAGGTGGCCCCCTTACAGAGCAGATGGTAAGGGCCAATGCTCCCTCTAAGTTTTGGAGTCTGGTGAGCAAAAATTCTACTTTGTGAGCTACTGGCATTAAAGTTGTGAGCGAGCGATTTGGCTACTGCATATATTAGTTTGCTCTGGAGCCATCCTTCCTGAGCTAAGACAAAAATCTGTGAGCTGGAGGCTGAAAAACTGTGAGCTAGCTCACACTAACTCAGCTTAGAGGGAACACTGGTAAGGGCTGTTGGCAAAGGGAATAAGAGGGAGAAGCAAGAGTTAAATCTGCCTTCATCAGAGGGTTTTAGGAACTCAAGAGGCATCTTTTCTGAGGCTGGCAAATAACCTGTGGAGTGACAGGTCCAAATTGGCAATGGCTTACATGGATTACATCAGGGCTTTGTGCGGGGACTTGGGTTTGCACCTGAGCCAGTTAGTAAGAGTGCTAAGTTCCGTTGAGGGAGCAGATCTCAGTACCAAGCTGGAAGAATGGCTGTTTACAATGTCAGGGGTGGTCTTCGTGAGATACAGAGTGGGTAGAGGGAACACCCCACCAATGAGGGACCAGATAGAGACAATCCAGAATTGGGAACCCTACAGCCCAAGACACAAGTTGGGGCTTTTATGGGAACTGGACAAACTTGGACCTTATTGGGGGGGGGCAAGAGTTCACCCTCCTAACTGACCCCACATCTCTACAATGGCTGCAGACTATGAAGAACCCTAACACCAAGCTTCATCAGTTGTCCTGGGAGGCGGAGAAGTTCAACGTAAAGGTTGAACATGCAGTTGAAGGTTTCATGTAGATCCTTTACTGTGTATCATGTAACCTGTAAACTTCTTACAACTGATTCCTTTGGATTCGCTGCAGAGCAACCTTCTGTAAGAGGGATGTTCTTCCACTGGAATCTTGGGAGGGGGAGATGTGACGGAATGCATTTTTTCCTGGGAAGTTGGCGAGTAGCAGATGTCCACTCGGCATTTCAAAAGGTTTGTCCCTGTGGGTAGAAAACAGGCTCAGGAGGAGGAAGTCCGTCAATGGCTTTCCCAGCTCATCTCTCAACAAATGCTAAATTTTAGACAGAGGGGTGGTCAACCCTCCCCCTTCTCTGCCCCCTTTCTCAAGCAGGGAACAGAGAGTTGGGGGTGTTAGATTCTAGAGACGCTGGAGGAAGGAGCTTGCTGGCGAGGACAGGAAAAGATGCTTTGACCTGGGCTGACTGGGGTCAAGGGGGAGGGGGAACAGAGATGATAAAACATCCTTGCAAAAGGGTTTCTCTTTCCTTTGGGGCTACGTCCAGGGGAGGCACAGATCTCTCCTTGGGGAAGGCAAGCATTGATCATGTCCTTGCCTCCAGAGCTGGGGAGACCTTCAAGGTAATGGAAACTCTGCAGAGAACTAGAACAGCTAAGTTAAAGAGCCTGTATTTTACCATCAGATAGGGCAGTGGTGGCGAACCTATGGCACAGGTGCCAGAGGTGGCACTCAGAGCCCTCTCTGTGGGCACGTGTGCCATCACCCCAACCAGGCCCAGACCATCATTAAAGTGTCGAATTCTCTGCCAAATAATTTTAAGTAAATGAAAGCATTCGGGATTGCTTTCCTTACTTTCTTTGCATCATCTTAAGTGAATGTATGAGTTGTTTTTTCTAAAGTACAAGCTCAGTATTCAGATTAAATTGCCGTGTTGGCACTTTGCGATAAATAAGTGGGTTTTGGGTTGGAGTTTGGGCACTCGGTCTCTAAAAGGTTCACCATCTCTGAGATAGAGTATGTGTAGAGAAGGGGCAGAGGATTTGTGTTTCTTATCAATTTCTTTTGTTTTCCCTTGCTCAATCTGGTGCTGTGCTATAAAGTATGCATGTAAACATTTTCTTTTTAATAAATATTTTAACATTTTGATGCTGGGAGTGGTTCTCTGTGTCACATAGATGCCACCCGTTTCAGACACGCTATTTTAAAAGGGGCTCGGGGGGGGGGATTGGGAAGTGGCTGTTCCTTTAAGGGAGCCCAAGGCAGTAAACGGTCCCTGTGGTGACAAGGCGCTGGGCAGCCGGAGACACAGAGGCAAGGCCTCAGAGCTTGGAAGGGGAGCTGGGGGTCCTAATCCTCCCAGTGGGAAACCCCTATATTTATCTGGTGGTGGTGGAGGGCTACTCGAGAGAGAAAGAAAAGCCCCTCCAGGGAGTTGGGAACCCCCTAGGAGGGCAGGGTGGAATGGGGCCTGCAGGCCAAAGCAGCCACATTTTGCCACAATGACTATTTTTTCAAACTAAGGAAGAGATTAAATGTGCCCTTTAACTGCCAATTCCAGGGTTATAAAGCCTCCCTGTGGTTGCTCAGTAGGGCTGGCAAGGCACTCTGCTCATGCTCAGATGCACTGTCAGCCAATGGAAAGCTAGGCAGAAAACAAAAGAGAGTAAAAGCCCAGTAAAGTCAGGGAACCTTCCCCAATTCTTAGAAAAGAATAAGTTGTTCCAGAAAATGACAGTGAGCACTTTGTAACTAAGGAACGAATATCTTGGCAACGCCAAAATGGCAGTCAACATTTTACCTGAACATTCATTACGGTTTGGAAACTTCCACGCTGACCTAATATTGTATTGGCCATGGCGCACTATTAATTTTATGAAGCAAGAATTCTTTAGAAATGAAAATGCTTTAGCAGAAAATGAAAGTACTGGAAAACGTTCCCACCTTGCATCTCTGCCGTCCTTCTTTAACAGTGCAGTCCAAAGGAAAGTTTACTTCCAAGGACTTTGAAAAATGTAACTCCGTTCAGCCTCTCTTGGTCATTCTTCTAGCTCCAGGGTAAACACTGAAGCTAGACACACTCCTGTTTGGTGTAGTGGTTAAGTGTGCGGACTCTAATCTAGGAGAACCGGGTTTGATTCCCAACTCCTCCACTTGCACCTGCTGATGTG